TTAGGAGACTAATTCTCCTTCCCTTGAATGTTGACAGGGCCTAGTGATTCGTTTCCACACAGTCATTTAGGAACAGACTGTGATAGAAGTAATAACGAATTCCTTACTCAGGTTAGAAAGGCTTTGCAGCTTTTGCTCTGTCATCTCTGGGACGATTCGCTCCTGCTGTGTCATGAGGACTCTCAAGCATGTCTTTGGAGATGCCCAGACGTACCAAGCCAGTACCAAACTTTCCAGCCACACAAGTGAGCCATCTTAGAAGGGGCTCCTCCAGCCCCAATCGATACTTACATCCCTGGCCAAAACCTTGACAGCAGTCACAACTTGACTGAATCAGAACCACCAGCCAAGAAGCTCCTGAAAGCCTGTGAGATCAGGTAACATATGCTAATTGATGTTTTCTCCTGCTAAGAGGGAGAGAGCTGAAGACACATTGCAGAAAAAAATGGTTTTTGCTTTCTGGTTCTAGTGTGCTCACCATGGCAGCTCCTGCAGGGCAAATATTCTCACCAGCAACCAGTTCCTGAAGTGGCCAGAAATGCCCCATGGCTAGCAGCTTCTCCTGGCACTGTTGCCCTTGGACAGTAATTTAAGCAAGATTTCTCTGCCTCCTGCAGCCTTTGCAGCTTCTCCTGCACCGGCAGCTGCTGTGCAGGCTTCTCCTCCTGCAGTGCTCACAGGCTGTCCAGCACCAGACTCCTGCAGTACATGCAGGCGGTGCTACAGTGGAGTGACTTTGGTTTGGTTTGGCACCTCTTCCATTGAAGAGCTTTCTCTGGCATCCTGGAAGGCAGATTTCTGGCAAGTCCCAGTGGCATGAAAACACAGTGACTTTTTTGACATCTGACGACTGCTTTCTCAACAAGATACGGATTTCAGACTTGAAGGTGGGTGGGAATCTCTTCCTTGGATACTCTATCTCAGCCTCAGCCCTCAGTTAAGAGGCTGCTCCTAATTTTGCTATTTATGTATTCTTTAGAGTTCTACTCCTTACCAACCAATTCTGTGTTACACCAATCCACACTGCAACAATTAAGCATATTAAAATTTCTCTGTTCAAATTACAATGTGGTTTTTCCTCTTGATTGGACCCAGATTGATATACTAAGTTTTGTCATAATTTGTTACACAGCAACAAATCACCAATACATCTCCTCTGCCCACCCCACTGTCAACTCTCCTTTCAATGCTATCAGGCAATTGTTATCATGTACCTGCTCAGAGTAGGCTCTTCCTTCAAGGCTTTTATAAGCAGCCAGCTATAATCTACTGCAAAAAAGAACAGAGTTTATAGGATCCAAGCTTTAATTTACCAATGCCAAATGAGAGGTTCAAATGAGAAGGGTTGCAGAAAGCATCAAAGCATGGTATGACTGAAAGTTGTAGGTTGCAGAAGGATATATTTCAACTTTGATGACACCATTGGACATAGCCCAATGCAAAGGAGACGGCACAGCGGGCAGGAGGAACATTATATCAAGAACTTGGAGACTCCCTGGTGACACAGCGGGTTGAGCGCTGTGCCGTGAAGCTGTCCGTAGCCTCCACCACGAGGGTTCGATTCCTGGCCAGCCAGGGAGCTGCCCACATGGTGCGGCAGACCTCTCCTGCCTCGCCTGCTGCTCCCCTCAGCAGTGTATTTCAGTCTGTCTGCCCGTTCTGCTCCTGGCTATTTTTCTGGTGAATCCTCTCACCATCCTGCGCCTCTGGCCTGTACCCCAGTTCTTACATAAATAAATAAATCTTAAAAAAAAAAAAAAACTTGGAGGCAAGACGAATGTGGTAGGCTTAGTCAATGGTAACTAGTTCGTTTCAGCTTAGCTAGAGAAGAAATTTGACATGGCAGCCTACTGGAAGTAAGACAATCAGATTGGGAAGGTTCTTATGTAAAGATAATTCATTTAGTACAACCATGGGGGCTAGGGGAAGTCCAATGACCATGTCTTTAAGGGCAAAACTCAACCTACTTTTGCTGTAAGTCCATTTATACTTGCCAGATCATCTGACAGCTTTGGGACTAGAAAATGTTTTCAGTATGGCAGTGGGGAACCCCTGAAGGTTTTTGAGATAATGTAATGTGGGGTTATAAGATTAGCCTGGAGCGTGTAGGGCTGGAGAGGATGGAGACAGAAATAGTGAAAAGTCTACCCCAAACTCCTAAAATGGTAGTAGCAGTAGAAATCAGAGAAGAGGGTGAATATATGATGTTTGAAATAACTGGTCAGATATGATGGGGAGGAGAAGTTAAAGATGATGCCCAATACCTAGCTGATGACACAGGAACATGAGGCTGGGTTGAGGAGTAAATAGGATGATGTGGATTTGACAAATTTGGGGGTGATTGCGGTGTACTCAAGTAGCAGAATCAAGAGACAGGGTTGATGATTCAGAACTGGTAGTGGCTCTGCAATCAGAGATGACAAGTCAAGCTTGGTGACAAAGATAAGCCCTTAGGAGTTCACTCACTCTGATCAGCCCATCTTCATCGACAACCCTACACCTGCAACCAGATCCCCAACCAATGGCGAGGACCTGGGTGAGAGATTCAGTAGGGATAAAATCCCCCAAGTGATTTAGTCCAGAACCCTTGAATATTTCTCATCTGCCCCAGATTCTGGTTTAGACTCTACCATCTACTCTCATGGGGCTCAGGTCAAGGAATATGAGAGCAAAACTCCCAACACTAGGAGGTTCTAATCCTATATTTGCCCCAGAGCAGCTCATGTGACCTTGAACAAGTCACCTTTCCTTTGCTTTTGTCTCCCCTTCAGCAAAATGCTAAGATTGGCGTTCATCTAGATGATGGTATTTAAGTCCTACCTCTGAAAAGAACACTGGTGTTCAATAGCAGGGCCAACATAGCCTCTTTCCTAAATCAAGTAGTAGCAGACTATGAATAACTCCAATTTTAGCTTTCTCATAACTAGAAAAAAAAAATCACCAACTATTACCTTGCTATGGCAAGGGTGCACAGATAACACAATGAATGAATGGGAAAATCTGAAAGTAAATGGCCATATTTGGTTTGGCAGTCTTCTTGTTTCTGGAGACTTCAAGGTTTTGGTTTTATATTCCACACACAGTCAGTCTGGTTTCTAAAGCTAAGTTCCAGTGGCATTTCAGCTCCTTTATCAAGGGCTCCAGGACCCCCTGTGCCTGTAACCTGAAGGCTGGAGAAACAGTGGACTCACTACTTTCCAAAGACCTTTCCAGTGCTGACCTTTCGTTTTCTCAGTGATGACTTCATAGCTCCTCCAAACCAGTCTTTGACCAACATCTTCTGCATGCAGAGCACCATATCTTAAATCCATTACCTCCTATCATCCCCATATCATCTTCTCAACAGCTTCATAAAATAAATGCCATTATACATTTGACAGCTGAGGGAACTGAGTTTCAAAGAAGGTAAATGGCTTTCCCAAGATTGAGCCTAGCAGTTTGATTCTAGAACTCACACTCTTCCCTAACATTCCTGAACATTCTATCATTAGTGCTATCACCAAATATTTTCAGTTTTTTCTTGGACACATATTCCCTGCTCATGTAGGCCTGTGACATGAAGTGAAAGTGGTAGGCATCGTTTCTGGTAGAACTTTTAAGAGCCAATCATCACTGCCACGTACCCTTTTCCTTCTCTAGCAGCCGTAGAAACATACTGAAGAGCCCTCAGCATGGATGCCTGAGAGAAGATAAAGTGGTACAGATGTCTGCCCCTGAGATGAGTATATAGTGTGAATAAGAAATCATCATCATTTTTAAGCTGCTGAGATTTGGACGTTGTCTGTTACTGGGGCATAGCCTAGTCTGTCCTGGCCAATCCAATGTTATACTTTTCCAGTTGATTACCTTGACAGCAGTCCTCAAATCTGCCTTCTCCTTGGGCCTCCCTGGTGGTGTAAGGGATTAAGAGAAAACGTATGAAGCTGTCTGCAGCCGCTGCAGCACAGGTTCAATCCCCAGCCAGGGGGCTACCCACATGGTGCAGCAGACCTCTCCTGAGCAGTGTATTTCAGTCAATCTGCCTGTTCTGCTCCCCACTCGGTCTCTGGTGAATCCTCTCACCCCCGCCCCACACCTCTAGCCTGTACCTCAGTTCTTGTATACATAAATAAATAAATCTTTTAAAAAATATATCTGCCGGGCCTCCCCAGTGGCACAGCGGTTGAGCGCTGGGTTGCGAAGCTGCCCGCAGCCTCTGCAGTGCCGGTTCGATCCCCGGCGGCCAGGCGAGAGTCCCACATGGCGTGCAGACCTCTCCTGCTGTGCCCACTGCTCCCCTCAGCAGTATACTTCAGTTCTTCTGCCTGTTCTGCTCCCTGCTCTGGCTCTGGTGAATTCTCTCACCCTCCCGCGCGTCTGACTGTACCCAGTGCTTGTATAAATAAATAAATAAATCTTAAAAAAAAAACAAAGAGGGCCTCCCCGGTGGCGCAGCGGTTGAGCGCTGGGTTGCGAAGCTGCCGGCGGCCTCTGTGGCGCCGGTTCGATCCCTGGCTGCTCCCCGGCCACCAGAGGAGGGTCCCACATGGCACGCAGACTTCTCCTGCCGCCCACGGCTCCCCTCAGCAGTGTACTTTGGTCCTTCTGTCTGTTCTGCTCCCCACTCTGGCTCTGCTGCTCCCCGCTCTGGCTCTGGTGAATTCTCTCACCCTCCCGCGCTTCTGACTGTACCCAGTGCATGTATAAACAAACAAACAAGCAAATAAATAAAACATGCCTCTATTAAAAAAAAAAAAAACAAAGAAAAGAAAAATAAATAAATAAATAAATAAATAAATAAATAAATAAATAAATCTGCCTTCTCCTTGAAACTTTCTGAAAGCATCAGCTACATATCAAAACTTGAAAAGCAGCAAGAGAAGCGAGTCTGTCTCCTAAACAGGGAAGTGGGGGTGGATTTGGGGTGGTACGCCTATGCTTTGCCATGATCTGGAAAGGGGTAATGCTGGATGACATTTATATTCAGCTTTGGAAAGTCTTGGACAGACACTACCCCTGAAGTTTCTCTCCCATACTCATTTATTGGCTCTCCTTAATTTTATTCCCCATTATTAAAGTAGGAATGACTAGGCTGGCAGGAAGAAGGCCGGCATCCCACATCTGGAGGACACTGCAGGCTGACTATGACCTTGCACGCCTGGATCTGAACCTCCTCCTCAGGGTGGATAACCAAGGCGAGCAGCCGGTCTGCCAGTCGTGACTCATCTCCAAAGAGAGCTTCATGCAGAGACTGTTCATTGTAATGCCATTTCACGGCACGGTAATGAGGTGAATTCCGGCCCTCACTCAGCCGCTCAGCAAACACCAGTGCCTCGAACAGCAAACTCCCTGACTGTGTAGCCTGGAACAGGTTCAGAAAGTTGTCATGCACCTATGATGGGAATGGAGAGAAGGCAGGAGAAATCCAAGTTAAAAGTTCTTCCATCTTCCAATGGCATCAATTTCCCAATAGATCTAAGTTTTAGATCCAACTGTCCAGGAAATGTGCAGTTTTATTGTCACTATCATTCTCTAACACAACTGAACTGTAATCATAAGCATTAGTGATATGATTACAATATTGATCCTAGGAAGTTTATTGAGACAAACTTTAAGAGCTAGTATGTGGCTGATTTTTTTTTAAAGATTTGTTTATTTATGCATACAAGAAGGGGGTGTAAGCCAGAGGTGCAGGGGCCAAGAGGATTAACCAGATAGAGTGGGGAGCAGAACAGGTAAATCCACTGAAATACACTGCTCAGGGGAGCAGCAGGCTAGGCGGGAGAGGTCTGCTGCGCCATGTGGTTTAGTTCCCTGGCTGGCTGGGGATCGAACTCCAGCTGTAGTGGCTGCCAATAGCTTGACAGTGCTGTGTCCTTAACCTCTATGCCACTAGGGAGGCCTTGTGATTTTTACAAATATTTTGTGTGCTTGAGAGAAAAGTGCATTTACTAGTTGTAAAGTGTTTGAGATATATCTAATGTTTCAGGTTTATTTGTTATTTATAGCTAATATTCCCTTTCAAGTTTTAGGTTTTTATCATTAATTGCTGAAAGGGTAGATAAAATCTTACAAATTTTCCACTGTGATGATAGATGTCGATTTTTCCTTATTCGTTCATGAGAAAAAGGAAATCTGGCCATTTGTGATCACATTAACAGATTTTGAGGGCATTATGCTTAGTGAAATAAGACAGACAGAGAATGACAAATACTGTATGTATCAGTTATATGTGGACTCTTAAAAAAAAAGTCAAACTCGGGCCTCCCCGGTGGCACAGCGGTTGAGCGCTAGCTGCCCGCAGCCTCTGCAGCGCCGGTTGGATTTCCAGCTGCTCCCCGGCTACCGGAGGAGGGTCCCACGTGGCGCGCAGACCTCTCCTGCCGCCCACTGCTCCCCTCAGCAGTGTACCTCGGTCCTTCTGCCTGTTCTGCTCCCCGCTCTGGCTCTGGTGAATTCTCTCACCCTCCAGCGCTTCTGACTGTACCCAGTGCTTGTATAAATAAATAAATAAAAATCTTTAAAAAAAAAAAAAAAAGTCAAACTCATAGAGAGCACCAGAATGTTGGCAGGGTTGGGGTATGGGATGGGCAAATAGAGAAGCTGGTAAAAGGATACAGATGTTCAGCTATAAGATGAACAGTGTGAAATTTGAAGATGTAATGTAAAACATGGGAACTATAGTTGATAACAATGTGTTATATAATTAAAATTTACAAAGCGGGCCTGGTGGTACAAGGGGTTAAGTCTCAGCACAATGAAGTTATTGGCAGCCACTGCAGCACAAGTTCAATCACCGGCCAGGGAGCTACCCACATGGTGCAGCAGACCTCTCCTCACTCACCTGCTGCTCCCCTCAGCAGTGTATTTCTGTGGATTTATCTGTTCTGCTCCCCTCTCTGTCTCTGGTGAATCCTCTCACCCCCCGCAACCCCTGGCCTGCACCCCAGCTCTTGTGTGCATAAATAAATCTTTCAAAAATTTTTTCAATTTATGAAGACAGTAGAACTTAAATGTTCTCATAAAAACAGTAAGTATGTGAGGTGACAGATGGGTAAAGTAAATAGATCATGGAAATCCTTTTAGATGTATATGTATGTCAAATCACCACAATGTACATTTTAATATCTCACACTTTAATATCTAACAAGTTTATCTGCCAATTATACCTTAATAAAAACAGAAAAAACAATTGTTTTCCTTCTAAGTCCATCAAGTTCTGCCATATATATTTTGAGATTATGCTAGTAGGTGCCTATGTTTACAGTTGCTTTATCTGATCCAGTAATTATTATGTAGTGATCCTATCGACTTCAAATAATAGGTTTTGTTATAAGTAATTTTCTCTAATAATAAAATACATTAATTTTTGTCACCTGTGTTCCTCTCAGAGTTCATAAAATCCCTCAAAAGATTCTCCTCCCAACAAAATAGATCCTCATTCTAAGCAGAGAACAGAAGAGGAGATGGTTTTCAATGTATCTCATGTAGAATCAGGAAGAGGAACAAGTTGCTATCATTAAGGCTAAGTCGGTCTGGAGAATTCATGATTCTTTCTTCCCCGGCTGGCATCCATCAGCCCCTTTCCAGTCCCTTTCTCACCTGGCAGTTGAGAATATCATAGAGAAGGTCCTGTTTCTGTGCCAGGTAGCTCAGCAGTCGTATAGCTTGCACCTGAGTAAAGAAAACAGCATAATAAGTAATAATAAGTAATTTTGCCTAATATTAAAATACCTACATTAACTTTTGTCACTGAATAAAGAAAAGAGTAAAACATAAGAAGGCAGATGAGTCTAGGCCCAAGCAGGGAAGACACAAGTCGCTGCTTCTCCCTCTAAGTCCCGCACCACGGCTGGTCAGGAGGCAGGGTCTGGGCCGTGGTCCTCAGGCCCCTGTGCCAGGATATAGCACCTGCGCCAGGATATAGTCTGACTGCAGGATCTCCATCAAGGCAGGCATCACCCGCCGCAGCTGTGGATGCACATAATCAGGCAGTGGGAGGCTGTTGAGGAGTCTGAGGCCTGCGACGTGCAGCTCTGAGTCCCAGATGGTGGAGACCAGTTCCAGCACCTTGATGCTGTGCTCCTGGTGGGGGAGAAAAGGAGAATCTGCTTCCATATGGTGATCCCCAACACAATCCCAGCTTCTGCAATGATGATGACCTGGTCAAACCCAAAAGGCAATTTCCTCTTATTTGAACTGTAAACATTATTTGACCTAGTTGTCCACTCCTACTTCCTTGAAATTCTTTTTTCTTTTCTTTTTTTTTTTAAAGATTTATTTATTTATGCATACAAGAACTGGGGTACAGGCCAGAGATGCAGGGGGTTGAGAGGATTCACCAGAGACGGAGTGGGGAACAGAACAGGAAGACTGACAAATACACTGCTGAGGGGAGCAGTGGGCGAGACAGGAGAGGTCTGGAGAGCCATGCGGGTAGCTCCCTGGCCAGCTGGGGATCGAACTCGAGCTGCAGAGGATGCAGATAGCTTCATAGTGCTGTGTTTAACCCCTTGCACCACCAGGGAGGCCCTTCTTTCCTTGTTCTTTTGCCCAGGCTCCTCTCCTCTAATTTCATCACTATTTGGTGACACTGCCTAGACTCACAGTGTAACACAAGATCTATATACTGATGACTATCCAATGTCTGTCTCAGTCCAGACCTCTCCCTGAACTCCACTCTCATATTCCAGTCTCATATTCCACAGTGGAAATGGAGGCCAAACAGACCCCTCAGAGTTAACATGCTCTGCTCCCCAAACCTGCTTACTCCACAGCCCTCCCTGTTTCAGCCTTCCTGTCACTCAAGCCGAACATCCGCAGTCCTCCGAGACTTTCTTTCCCACATATGCTTTTTCTGATCCCTGTTGGCCCTGCCTTCAAAATCTATCAACAATCAACGCACTTCTCATCACCCTTACTTCTATCAATTTCTACCACCCTATTCCAAACCACCATCATCTCTCACCTGGATTTTTGTAATCTCCTGTCTCCCTGTTTATGTCCCTGCCCCCGTTCCCTATTTGCAGAACAGATGAATTGTCAGACGTGTCACTCCTCTGCTCCAGAGTCCCTAGTTCACTTCGGGTAGACTGAAATCCTTACAGTGGCTTAAAAGGTCTGATGGATCTGCTTTCCCACTGTAGGGTAAGCAAAAAGTGTCAGGCTTTTCTGCCCTCTCACCATTAGATCAAATGCATGCCTGACAGCGGGTATTTGGAGTAGGGTGTGGGCATGCATAGGTGGGCGCACCTGAGCCAAGAGACTGGGCATATAAGGCCAGGACGCCAGAGGAACAGAAAGAGCAGAAGGAGAACAAGCAAGAGATGGGAACAGAACCAGCAGAGACCATGAGAGAACGCCAGAGAGCCCAGAAAGAGTGAAGATTTGCCGGGGGCTGGGAGGCCTGCCAGCCTCCTGCCACTTCCCTCCTCCAAGCCCCCCACTCACCTCCCGCACCGGCACCCCTGCCTGATGTGTACTTGGTAAAATCCCAATAAAAGCCTGAAAAAGCCTCCGAGGGCTCCAGGACTCTCTTTTACCCGTCTGCATTGGTTCATAGAGATCCTGACTGTGCCTTCCTGCCCCTACACCCACCTACCCTTGTTATTTCTGACTTCACCTATTCTGCTTTGCTCCCATGGTTCTCATCACAATGGCCTCGTAACTGTTTCTTGAACTTGCTAGGGGCACACCTATCTTAGGGTTTTTACGATCTGTTCCCTCTGCTTTGAATACTTTCCCTCCAGATATTCATAGCCCACTCTCTTACCTCCAAGTCTGCTTTAATGGCGCCTCAGTGAGGCCGTCCATGACCACCCTCCTTTAAGACTACACCACCACTCCCACCCCAGCCTTCTTTACCCTGCATCTTTATTTTTCTCCATCACTCTGTCATATGGAACACATTTTGTTACTTTAAACAGTTTTAATTCTAAATAATTATAAATTCACAGAAAGTTGCAAAAATAGTACAGAGAGGCAGTGAGCTATTCACCCAGTGGTTACAAAAAGGGCCTCCCTGGTGGTGTAGGGGGTTGAGCTCAGCGCTGTGAAGATGTCTGCAGCCTCTGCAGCGCGGGTTCCATTCCCAGCCGGCCAGGGAGATACCCACATGGCGCAGCAGACCTCTCCTTTCTCGCCTGCTGTTCCCCTCAGCAGTGTTTTTGGTCGTCTGTCTGTTCTGCTCCCCACTCCATCTCTATTGAATCCTCTCACTCACCCGCACCTCTGGCCTGTACCCCAGTTCTTGTATAAATAAATAAATAAATCTTAAAAAACAATCAAAACTAGGAAACTGATATGGGTAGGTACAATGTGTATATAGTTCTGTGTCATCTTACCACGAGGGTAGATTCTGTAACCACCACTACTATAACAGATTATTCCATCAGAATAATCTCATCTAAACTAAAATTAGCAGTGATACCAAATGCTGGTAAAGATATAGAGAAACTAGATCTCTCATATGGGTACAATGTATATATAGTTCTGTGTCATCTTACCATGAGGGTAGATTCTACAAACGTCTCCCTCATGGACTCCTTCATAGTTACACATACCCCTCTTCAGCAAGACCAGCCCTAACTACTGGCCCCCATTAATATGCTTTCCAGCTCTAGAATTTGTCACTTGGAGAATGGAACCATACCGTCTGTGTCCTTGAGATTCATCCAAAATTATTGTGCATATCAATATTTCATTCTTTGTTTATTACTGAGTAGTATTCCATGGTGGGGGGTACCACAGTTCACTTAAATGTTCATCTAATGAGAGACATTTTGGTTTCCAGTTTTGGGCTATTATAAAGCTGCTATGAGCAATTGTGTATAGGTTCTTATGTAGATGAAGTTTTCATTTCTCTAGGACAAATGTCCAGGAATGTGATTGCTGGTTTGTATGGTAAACCTATAGCTAGTTTTTTTCTTTAAAGATTTATTTATGCATACAAGAGCTGGAGTACAGACCAGAGGCGTGGGGGGTGAGAGGATTCGCCAGAGATAGAGTGGGGAACAGAACAGGCAGATCGACTGAAATGAAGTGCTGAGGGGAGCAGCGGGCGAGACAGGAGAGGTCTGCTGTGCCATGTGGGTCGCTCCCTGGCAGGGGATCGAACTTGTGCTACAGTTGCTGTGGAGAGCTTCGCAGTGCTGTGTCTTAACCCCTTGAGCCACCAGGGTCGGCCTGGCTAGTTTTTTAAAAACTGCCAAACTATTTTCCATTTCACATTCTTATCAGCAACATATGAGAAATCTAGTTTCTCTATATCTTTACCAGCATTTGGTATCACTGTTAATTTTAGTTTAGATCATTTAGTGTAGATCATTTCATTATGGTCTTAATTTGCATTTCCCTGATGGCTAGTGAGTTTAGACAGCTTTTTCATGTGCTGTTGGCAATCTGTAAGTCCCCTTCAGTGAAATATTTCTTCATTCCTTTTGCCCATATTCTAATTGGATCATTGTTTTAAACATTGAGCTTTGAGAATTCCTTATTTAATCTCAACATAAGTCCTTTGCCAGATATGAGGTTTGCAAATATTTTCTCACAGTCTGGCCTTTCATCCTCTTAACAGGGGTTTTCACAAAGCAAGTGTTTTGAATTTTCAGAGTCCAATTTACCATTTTTTTTAAAAAGATTTATTTATTTATTTATACAAACACTGGGTATAGTCAGAAGCGCGGGAGGGTGAGAGAATTCACCAGAGCCAGAACAGGGAACAGAACAGGCACATTGACGAAATACACTGCTGAGGGGAGCAGTGGGCGAGACAGGAGAGGTCTGCTTCACCATGGGATTCTCGCCGGCCGGCCGGGATCGAACCGGCACTACTGAGGCTGCAGACAGCTTCACAGCACAGTGTTCAACCGCCTGTGCCACCAGGGAAGGCCCTCTTTGACCCGTCCTTATTTTTCTCCATAGCACTTGTCACATGGCACACACTAAAGATTTTACTAATTTGTAAATTTCCTGCCTCACCTTGTTAGAATATAAATTCCTCTTGGACAAGGATCTTTCCTGTTCTGTTCACTGCTATCTCCCATGCACAAAGCAGGTACTCATATACATTTTTTAATGACTAAAAGGATCTTGGCTTCTGAACACAAGATGCTTAGACAGAGAGATATTACTAAAGATAGATAAACCTCACAAGCTATAGCTTTTTGAGACACATAAGAGGAGGCAGGAATCCTGGAGTGAGTACAACAGCATTTCCATTAAACCCTGCTCCTCTTGTCTCTGTTTACTAAGACCTAAAGAACAGCTAGGAGTTAGCAAGTCTGGGGCAAGGTTTCAGGCAGAGGGGACAGCAGGTACAAGGGCCAGGAAATGAGAGAACATGACACAAAGGATGTAAATGGCTGGGTCTGGGCCAAGAGGTGGAACTGGTCATACACTTTATGCTTAGAGCCTGGAGGACAACCAAACAGAGGGGTGATGGGACTAGATCCCGCTGGAGAAAGTGGTCCAACTTAGGGAAAGGGGGGAAGCTCCATTTTTTTTGCACATGCTGGGTTAGAGAGCCTCTACACAGTTCAGATGGAACTGCTGGGCATGAGTCTAAGGTCAGGGACGGAGACCATGAGAGCACATATAGATGGAAACCAGGTCAGGGAGTGACTGCTTTCATATAATAAGAGAACAGGGTCAGGTCCTCAGGATATAGACATTGGGAAAGAGGGAACAGTGATGCCCATGTCACCTGCTTTGGAATTTCCTGGGGACCTATGAAAAACTAATTCCCCCTGCTGAACTGGACTGTGGGTGCAGAGCCCTGAAATCTCTATTTTTTAAAAAGATTTATTTATTTATGCATACAAGAACAGGCCAGAATTGTGGGGGGTGAAAGGATTCACCAGAGACAGAGCGGGGAACAGAACAGGCAGATCGACTGAAATACACTGCTGAGGGGGGCAGCAGGCAAGACAGGAGAGGTCTGCTGCGCCATGTGGGTATCTCCCTGGCCAGGGATTGAACTCAGGCCGTCATGGTGGGCCTCAGAGTGATAGCGCTGAGACTTAACCCCTCGGCCACCAGGGAGGCCCTCCCCTAGGAATTTTTTTTTTTAAAGATTTATTTATTTATGCTTACAAGAGCTGGGGTATAGGCCAGAGGTGCAGGGGGGGGCGGCGAGGGGGTTCACCAGAGACAGAGTGGGGAACAGAACAGGTAGACTGACTGAAATACACTGCTGAGGGGAGCAGTGGACACGACAGGAGAGGTCTGCTGTGCCATGTGGGTTGCTCCCTGGCCGGCTGGGTATTGAACTCGTGCTGCAGAGGCTGTAGATTGCTTCATAGTGGGGTGCTTAGCCCCTTGTGCCACCAGGGAGGCCCCCCCAGAAAATTTTGATGCAAAAAAATATAAGTGTGAAAAACACAAAGTGTTGAGGAGGTAATAAGGCAACAGGAAAATGCACGCTATTTTGGTGAGAGGCTTATAAATTGATACAACCCTTCTTGAAAAGTAAAGCATCCCTGTTAACCAAGACGTTTTATTCCTACATACACAACCTGGAGAAGCTCTCCCATGTCCACAAGAGAAATGTATGCAAAAAGCTCATGGCACAATATAGGAACTAGAAAGAGTACAAATGCCTCCCCATGGGTAAATGGATAAATAAAATTGTATAATATTCACAAACTGGAATGCCATACATTAATGAAAAAGAGGAAACAGAGTTAACCATATTCTATAGGCGAAGTTGAGGGTTAAAGGCAAACTGACTAGTAACCACATAATACCATACATAAAACTACAAACATTCCAAACTATATTTTACCTATTCATTTATGGCCTTTCTTTCCCTGTTAAGACATGTACAGATACAGGCAAAGAAAATGAAGGCATTGATGAACAAATGCAGAAAAATGATTGCCTCTGGCGGTATTGGTCGTGTTTTATTTCTTTTTTTATTTAAATTTTTTTTTAATTTTTTAAAGATTTATTCATTCATTCATTCATTCATTCATTCATTCATTTATTCAAGCACTGGGTACAGTCAGAAGCGCGGGAGGGTGAGAGAATTCACCAGAGCCAGAGCGGGGAGCAGAGCAGGCAGAAGGACCGAAGTACACTGCTGAGGGGAGCAGCTGGGAGCAGGAGAGGTCTGCGCGCCATGTGGGACCCTCCTCCGGAGGCTGGGGAGCAGCTGGGGATCGAACCGGCACTGCAGAGGCTGCGGGCAGCTTCGCAACCCAGCGCTCAACCGCTGTGCCACCGGGGAGGCCCTAAATATTTTATTTTATATAATTCTTACATCTTTTTTCGTCTTTGCACAATGTATGAATTTTCATTTTGGTTATATTCCCCATACAATTGCACCCCCCCTTATTTTGACTCTAGTCCTTCCTTTCCCCACCCCTTCCCCCCAATCCCGTAGTGTGTCTCTGGTTTGTAGTTGCTTGTTGATTTTGATTTTTACTTTGTATTGATTAGTCTTTTTCCTGGTCTCTTATTTAGGTTTTCTAAATTTCTGCTATAAGTGAGACCATCCGGTGTTTTTCTTTTTCTTTCTGACTTACTTCGCTGAGCATGATCCCTTCTAGCTCCATCCATGTTGCTGCAAACTGCCTGTGTTTATCTTTTTTGACTGCTGAGTAATATTTCTTAACCTGGATTCTGGTTGTGGGTGTTTTGTTTATTTGTTCATTCTACTGTACACATTTACAATGTTTGTAATTTTTAATATTTATTTATAATTAGGAATAAATTGACCATTTGCTAAAGGAAGAATTGGAGGTCCAAGAAGAGGATTTTTTTGTTTGTTTGTTTTGCTTTTTAAGTACAAGGGAATGGGGAGTGTACTGAATAGGGAGGTCATCTTAGACAGAAAGGCTAGTCAAGGAGAGAGGCCCTCAGGAAGGGGATGGGATCCAGGACTTAGACTGACATTAACCACAAGCAGGAAGAAAGCCATTTTTTTTCATGGTACCAGCAGGAAAGCAGGTCAAGATGTGTGTGGTTCTCCAAGAGGAAACACAAATGGCCAACAGGCACATGAAAAAATGTTCAACATCACTTATAATCAGGGAAATGCAAATCAAAACCACAATGCGGTATCACCTTACACCTCTAAGAATGGCACATATGAAAAAAACTAGCAACAGTACATGTTGGTGAGGATGTGGTGAAAAACTGGTCCAACCGCTATGGAAAGCTGTATGGAGGATCCTCAGACCACTAAAAAATATGACCCAGCAATTCCACTCCTAGGGATATACCCAAAGAACACAAAAACACTAATTCAAAAGAATATCTATACCCCTACGTTTACTGCAGCACTATTTATAATAGGTAAGACTTGCAAACAACCTAAATGCCCAAAAATAGATGATTTGATCAAGAAGATGTGGTGTATATATACAATGGAATACTACTCAGCAATCAAAAAGATAAACTCATGCCATTTGCAGCAACCATGGATGGAGCTAGAAGGGATTATGCTCAGTGAAATAAGCCAGAAGGAAAAAGAAAAATAGCAGATGGTTTCACTTACAGGAGGAATATAGGGGACCCAAATAAGGAATTAGGGGGAAAGTAATAACAATAAAGAACATAACAAAACAAAACAAAAATAGACAGCTATAAATCAGAGAAATTCTGCAGGGGAGGAGGAGGGAGAAGGATCAAAACGAGGGAGGGAAGTGCCCAAGGGACTATGGTGATGGTGCACAGGTGAATTAGTGGTAGAAATTCTATGGGTACTACACCTGAGAAAAGAAAGCAAACATTGTAAAAAAAAAAAAATAGATGTAAAATATATATAAATTTAAAAAAATTAAAAAGATATCATGCTAAATTAAAAAAAAAATAAGATGTGTATGCAAACAGGTAAGCCTGGGGGCCTAATAGGAGCAAGTTGGGAGAACAGACATTTGCTGGCTTCTGTTTCCTCATAATCAAGAATAGCCCACTCACCAGCTATAACAACACAGCATGGGGAGTATGATGCGATAATAAATATTATCGCATAATATTTGGTGTTGTCCCTGGTTCCAGGTACAGAGCTCCTGAAATCCTTGGAATTTCCTGACAGGAGTGTCTCTTGTTATTTATAACAAAACCCTTATTATCACTCCTGACTTTATGTTAATAAGGTGACTCATGGAGCCCCCAGATAACTTCAGGATGAGGCTTGGTGACCAGAAAAGGCCACATCATGATTAGAGGGATGGATCTTTCCGTGCTACCCTTGAAATCTGGGGAAAAGAGAGGAGCTGGAGATTGAGCTCCAATCAATCACCATTGGTCAAAGAATAATCAATTATGTCTACATAATAAAACCTCCACAGAAACTCCTAAATGACAGTTTGGAGAACTTGTGGGTTGGCAAACACCTATAGTTGCAAGGAGGTGACAAAGCCAGAGAGGGCATGGAGGTTCTGCACACCTTCTCCCATACCTTGCCCTAAACACCTCTTATTCCATTTGGCTGCTCCTAGGTTATATGCTTTATAATAAACTGGCAAACACAAGTGTTTTCCTGAGTTCTGGAAGTTGTTCTTAGGGAATATCAAACCTGAGGAGAGCATTGTGGGAACTTTACAGCTGGTTGGTCAGAAGTACTGAGACTTGTGACTGGCATGTGAAATGGGGGGCAGTCCTGTGGGACTGAGTCCTTTTCCTGTGGGGTCTGTGCTAATTCCAGTTAGAGAGTCTCAGCATTAATTGAACTGCAGGATACCCAGTTGCTGTCAGAGAGTTAGTTGGTGTCAAAGAACCTTAGGGGGCTTTCTAGGAGTAATCAGATTTATCCCTAGTACCCTACTTCAGTTTCAGCCTGAAATTTAAAGACTTTTATGACCTCACTGGGAATATGGCACCATTTGCCCACTTACGCCCAAGGAAGACCATTTCTGGGTTGCAAATTTCAGGAACATGAGCAACTAAGCCTATTAAAGAACCCTTGGACTACAGACAACCCGCGTGCCCCTCGGCTCACCTGGATTTTGAGCCTGAATTTTCGGATGCCAGAGAAAGCTTTAAGTGTGTTCAGAGCTTGGATTTTGACACTGTTGTCCCTGTCATCCAGCATTTCGCCCACCAACCTGATGTCATCAGTAGAACAAGCAGAGGCCTAGAGTGTGCCAAGAGAGACGAAAGAGGCAGAAGAAGCGGGTGTCCAGGGTCCACTGCCCCCCTACGTCACCAAGGCCCCTGACGGCCCCTCCCCACCATCAGCCAGAGAGACAGGTCGCAGGACACGGTCTGGCCAGGCAAGAGGGCAGAGGTCAGGGATAGCCCCTAGAGGCTAAGCTGGCTGGGGGGTGGAGAGGACCTCCTGCTTCCCTTCCCTCACCTCTGCCTCCAGCAAGTACACACAGCGGGTGATACTGTGCAGGATCATGCTCTTGGCGAACTCGTCCTGTTTGCACTCCAAAGAGTTGAGGAGCCTCCGGATCTCACCTGAGTCCCGCCCATGTCGCTCCCGCTCGATCGCCAGGCCTAGACAACCACCCCGGGCAAGCTCAGGATGTGGACTCAGAAGTGATAAAAGAATAGGGCTGGGAAACTGGGGAGAGGGACCTAGGGACAAGCCTGAGTTGCCTTTTCTGAGAAGTCTTGCTGTAGGCAGGACCACCATATACAGTAGAACAGAGTGTGCACCATACAAGGACACCACAACTAATGTTGTACTGTACATACTATAAACATTTACTACAACATATTTCTGGCATATGACTGTAATATGTCATATTTCATCATAACTGGTTTATGGCAATGAGATTCCAACAGATAGCAATAAAAATTTTGCACAAGGGTAACATATTCTACTTTGCATAAATGTGCCATATGGACTAGTGAAAGCTCTGGGCATGCATGTCCCCCCATTTTCCCTTGGGGGGAACCACTAATGCTATTTCCAAGCAGTGCCATCCTGGGAGCTAGCGTGAATGCAGAATTTGAAGACCTGTCAGATGAGCTCTGAGCATCCACCTGAGTGTTATCCACTACCCAGGGATCCTGAGCTCACATCTCCAGCAACGACTTCTCTGGGGAACTGAAGAGTGGGTTTGCAGGGTGGGTTTAAGGAAGACGGAGAAGAGAAAAGAGGAAGAGGATCACCTTTGGGCCCTCCCACACTGGATGACTCAGAAGCGGGTACCTCCTGGGACAGAGCCCTCTCCCTAGGGCCCGGACACTCACGGGCGATGCAGATGGGCGAGTTGGTGCAGAGGGGCGGCTGGCATCTTATACCAGCCCTGATGGCCTTGTAGAGTAGATAGATGGCCCCAGCGCCCGTGGCCAGGCTCACTATAGTTTTGCGGATGTCCAGTTGCTTCACACACTGGGGGACGTTCACGCCCATGTCTTCAGTGCCACCTTGTGCCTGGGTGGGAGCGAGGCCCGAGGCACCTGGCAGGGGCCTTCCGGAACCAGAACCCTGTTAGGGCCAGGCACCCGGGCACCAGAATCGGAACCCAGGCAACAAAGGAAACTGGGGAAATAGTAGATGGAGGGGGGTGGTCGGGAATTGGGGCAGTCAGGGCTCCTCAGAGAACAGAAGGTTCAGCTTCAGAGACTGCAGGAAACGAAGCTCAGGATTCTAGGGGAATACAAAGTCAAAGGGCAGGCAGGAAGGCCCTCTCTCCCTTTTCTTTTAGGGATACCAGGTTAGTGGGGGCTCCAGGGCTGCCTTTCTCCATTAGAGGGCAGCAGAGGCCACATTTCGGGACTGGGCCTTTTAGAGGTTCCTGGGAGGGTGTCTGGGGTGTGAACAGTGGCAGCTCTGTTCCCTCACTTCCTTCCCAACCTTGATCTCTTGACCATAGATCCATTGCTAGGCCTACGGTGTTTCCGCTCAGCCTCCCCTTCCATGGGAGAATGAAATGGAGAGAAGTTCCTTGTAAAGTGTTGCAGTCGTGAGGTAAATCCATTATCTTACGCAAGTTCCCCTATGACAGATATTTACCTGACTGACCAAAAGTTCTGAGAGCAAGTGTATTTGCATCTGCAACATCCAGCACAAAGTCCTGCACTTAGTAGGTACTCAAGTCATGTTCTGTCATTCATCCAGGGCAGAACAATGAGAATCCGGATACAAAGGCCCCAGGCCCATTAAACAGTGAGTCACTGGTGGAGTAAGGGATCTGCCCTTGCCTGGGTCTCCAGTTCTGCATTTGTAACCAGAGGGGATCCAGATTTACCATTCTAAAACTCCAGGATTAATTTTGGGTGGGTCTGTGCCCCTAAACCATGAGGGTCCTAAATATGATAGGACCCCCCCACACCCCAGCCATGTTGGTCCAGATGAAACCTGCTTGTAGTAGTAATTCTATTATAGTCAGCATCGGGGGGCTCCATGTACTGGGCACTGTTCTGAGCACTTAATACTCACAAGCATCCCCAAGGTGGTATTATTCCCATTTTAAAGGTGAGGAAAATGAGGTGTAAAGATCACAGAACTGAGTCTATGACTGAACTGATTTTGAACCTGGCAGTCGGGCTACAGCCTCACTCCACTAAACTAAACGCACCTAACATGATGGGAGCATCAGCCTTCGAGGCAAAAAGTTGGTAACCGCAGCGGAGAAAGCAGATACAGGGCAGCTGGTATCCTTTTTGTCTTGGTGAGGGCCAGACAGAAACCCGGGGCCATCTGTGTGTCTAGAATCTCAGCTTTGTCTCTAGCCCGTGGTCCAGGTCTAATTTGACAGGAAAAAAGTAAACAAAGCCAAGTTTCCACGGAGAGTTGCAGTTATGTTCCCTAAGAACATTCCATTATCTATTATCTATCATCTATTATCGCCATCATTTCATAAAAGCAAGTGGGTTTTAATTCTCAAGAACAACTGAACCAAAAACAGTCATTCCCGAGAAAGGACAACAATAGACATTCCTCTGTCTTAATGTTTTCCTTTTCGTTGTGCTGTGGACTGGTGAAAATGTCACACTGGGGAAGAATGCCTCTAATCCCTCTGAATCATTTGAGGAGGGAAACAAGAAATGACATTTAAGTGTAGCAAGAAGGAGTTAGGTTAAAGCCAAGAAAGAACTCTCTTTTGGAGGGCTTTAAAGAACCATGTGAGGATTGATTGCAGAATCACTCCAGGGGCTGGAAAGGCCCGTAGCTCTGAGTCCTAAAACAGAGAAGGGCCCGGATCTTGTTCTGAAAATTACAGCCTCAGATTCACCGGGGGAGCCTTGGAGCCTAAAACAGTCCCCATAAGACATCTATTTCCTGCCCAGAATTCATGGGACATGATGGGTGGTCCCATAGCAGTGGGGAGTCTTCTGAGGGTTTCTATTCATCCCTCATTGAAGGAGGTCCAAGGAGTTACACACCTTGGGACTTAGTAGAGTATTAGGACTGGCCCTCGAAGAGAGGTGGAAGTGAAGAAAGGAAGAGAAGGACCACTTAGGAGTGACACCCTCAACCTGGGGTTGAAGGCTGTGAGTGGACAGGGGATGCTCTTTTCCTGTTGCCCCACCTCCTTCAACCCCTGGTGCAGCCCAGGAGCTCAAAGTCAGGTGAAATCTGCAATTTCTCTCAGTGCTGCCTTGGAAGCTGAGCCTGGCTTGGGGCTTCCAGCCCCGCTGTTCTGTGAGGCCAGGGGGTGTGGAGATACTGCTGGGAGAAAAAGAAAAGGGAGGAGAAGGAAAAGATCTGATCTCACCTCCCCATCCTAGCAGTGGAAATGATAGCCTCCAAAGTTGGGTTCTCTTCTTCCCAAGAGGAGGCCTCATGCCTCATGTGGAAGGGGGTGAGCACACAGGTTGAGTGTCTCAATGAGGCCTGAAAGGCACATTATTCATCTCCCCCCTTTCCACTTACTCTCTACACCTCCCCCCCATCTTCAGGCAAATCCATCACAATTCCTCTAAGTATCTGACTGCCCTGAGCAACTTGGGAGCCCTCTTTGTGGGCCCCACAAATACCACAGTCAGGAGCCCTACCCACCCGGCCTCTCCCCCATTTTCGTGAGGTACTTTGTTTCTAAAAACCATCCTCTAGCTAATGAAATTCTAAGACCGCCCCCTATTCTCTTTACCAGAGCTCTAGCAATCAGTCTTCAGCCTAGTTAGAGCTAAGGCTCAAGCACCGTGGGGGGCCTCCTGGGCCCTACAGGCCACTGCCGAGGGTGACCCCGGCCGGCGCGCGTCGCTTAGGGGAAGCTAGAGGATCGTTAGCCTGCTCTGTACCTAAAGGAAGAAGCCGCACGAGTCCGACCCGCCGGGGCAAATTCCATAATCCCTGTCTGTTTCCTTCTCCAGACACCCGACCCTTAATACCTACCTACAGGCGGGAAGAGCCGCGGTCGCGACTGAGTGAGAAAGTGTGTGTGGGGACTCGGCGGGGACGCTCAACACGTGCGAGCTTCCTCCGCGGAACGCCAGGCGCCGAGGGGTGGAAGCCTGGGGTCCCGCCGGAGACCCCACACTCCCCAAGACCGTCTCCTCCCTAGCGGCGTCCACCCCGGCCCCGGGACGCGACTGCGGGGCGTGTCGTAGCTCGTTACCCCGCGAAGGCACGGGGACGGCCAGAAGCGCCGCGGCGAAGGCCCGGGGAGCGCGCCCCCAGAGGAGAGCCCGGCGGCCGCGGAGGGGGCGGGCGGAGGCCGCGCCTTTCCCCACCCCGGGCCTCCCCCCATCTCGCCCGCCCGCCCTCCCCGGACTCCCTCCCCCCCGCGCGCATCCGGCGGCGGGCACAGGATGTTCTTTCGCTCCCGCTCCCCCACCCCGCCCCCGCTCTCACTTTCCCTTCGCTCCCCTCCCCCATTCCCGCCGCGCCCGGCGCCGGCACCTTGTTTAACTCCTTCTGTTCCGCGCGCCGGGGCGCCAGGCGCCCCGGGGTCCCTCTCTCCCCGCCCACCCCCCAGGGCGCGGAGCGGCCCGCGCGCCGTCGGGGAAGGGGCGGGCCCGGCCGGGCGCTGGGCCGGGCGCTCGGGGTCCTCCGGCCCGACCGTCCGGGGCGCAGGGGTGAAGCGGGCTTCCAGGGCGAGACGCTCCCGACCCCGCCTGCCCACCGGTGCGCGGAGGGTGCGCGCGCCCGGGCGAGCCACGCGGGGCCCGGGTGGGCGTAGACGGCGCCGAGCCCGGCAGGGAGCTGGCGGGGCCGAGAACCCCAACTTCGTCCTCCCGCCGGGTAGGGACGAGCAGGGGCCCGGGACTCCCCGAGAGGATGGCGAGAGGTCACGCCCCTCGCGTGCACGTCACCGTTTCCACGGCGACCGGGGGCGGGGGCGCGGGCTGGAGACGAGACCTTCGAGAAAGGAGGTTGCCGCCGGCTTTGGGACCCGGGTGGGGGTGGGGAGGCGGCGGGGGCGGGCTTTTTAATCTGCTCGTCCTCTCTCGCAGATGCTCTAGGAAGCCCGGGGAAGGAGCGCTCCGTTCGTTGGTTCATTCAATGATCGTTCCCTGAGCTTGGGCCGTGCCCCGCGACGTGCTGAGATGCTGGTGCGCCCGGGCGCACGATCCGAGCCCAGCCCTCGCCGTCGCTGTGAGTTGTGGTAGGGTGGCCACGCGTCCCGGCTTACGTGTGTGGAACCGGTGAATGACTGAGTGTCCCTTTTCCTGCTTAAAAGCGCCCCTGTATGGGAGGTGCTTCCCCCCCCCGCCCCCCAATTCAGGGAAGGCGCCACCCGCGCCGGGAAGAAAGACAAGCTATTGTCTGCTCACTGTGCAACAGGCGCGTTCTTGGCACTTTGTATGCACTGGAGTCTTTGCCCTGCGCTCTGCACAGTATCACTAGCGCCTTCTGCCGATGGAGAAACTGACTCGAGAGGTTAAGAGACTTCCCCAAGAGCCAACAGCTAAATCTTGGAACCGGCGTCCACACCCAGGTCTGTGGATTCCAGTGTCCCAGTGCCCTATCTTACGTTTCCTTTTCAAAATAAACTGATGATTGTAAATAGAAAATAAAGCCACTGCCTCCGAGATGGAGTTTATAATCAGTCTAAGGAGTTGAAAATACTACCAGACAATGCAATTTAGAAAAAAAAAAATTTTGAAGGCGGCCATAAGGCTCAAAAGGAAGTCGATGGCAAATGATCAAAGTGAGGTGGAGATTATCAGAGCCTTCCTGCAGGAGATGGATTCTGAGCTGGATTATGCGGTGGTGATGGGGCCAGGATCACCGGTGGTGTGTGTGTCTGTGTCTGTGTGATGTGGTGCCAAGAAAAAGAACAATCTAAGGGCATCAGACCAGGACCCAGAGCTCGGCAGACTGGATGGCCAGTGGATCCCTCTGTAACCTCCAAAGCCACTGGTTGCGCTCACTCTCCTTTCTGCCTCCTACCCCCTCAGTGGTTTTCTTACTGGGGCAAAGGCTCCCAGGAGGCAGCTGTACTCATTCCACCCTTCCTTCAAGGACTTCACAATTAGTATTTGACACAAACCTCCTGCTGTTAACTTGGATGTCAGCTTCTCCTTTCTCCACCCCTCTGTGAGATTTTGGGAAATGAAAACTAGTGGCCCCTCAAAACAAGAAGTCCACTGAGTGAGCCTCAGGAAGCCAATAAGCTTGATGGGAATGAGACCAAGTTGGGAGACAGATCTGGAAGGAAGAGAAAGGAGTTCCACCAAATGCATCTGTCACTTACGGAACATGTGCTGCCTTCCTGGTATGCACCCAGCCCTAGGCGTGCTCTGTGGTCCCGGTCTGTGAATTAATCCGGGTGCCTTCATGTGGAACACACAGGTTAGCAGCTAGTGTACCCAGTGAGCTTGATTGAGGAGTGTGAAGTGATAACCTACACAATAAATGATGTTTGAGAAAGGTTATTCCAGCGGAATATGTAGGAGGAAGGAAAAACCTGAGTCAGAAAGAACAGTGTGGCAACAGCTGGGGAATTTGGGCCAAAGGTGCAATCTGTGGGGCTGGCGAGGAAACGATGAATGAGGAAAACAATAATATATCTTGTAGTAAAGCAACAAGGAGAATCTGGTAATGGACCAGATGTAGGATGGTGAAGGAGGAAATAGTTAAAAATGAATCCACCTTTATGGTGAGTTTGGGGTATGGAAGGGTCATGTTGGGCAATCCGGAGGAGCTGGCATGAGGGACATGAGGATGAATTCAGTCACTTCTAGGCCATGTGAGAGCAGCTGTCCTATAGGTGACTGGATTCAGAGAAAGGAGAAGTCCACAAGGGCACTGGACTGCCTTGTGGGAGAGACCCTGTTACTGTAGGTGTGCAGACAGCGTTAGCATAATCACTGACCTTAGATATTATGGGCAGATTTCATACATCAGCAAGAAGGTGGGAGTCAATGACAATGACACTACCTCCTGACTGGGGATTGGGTGAGCACTGGCTGGGTGAGCCATGTGTGGGAAGTATTCCTACATGTGTGGGAAGGTGGTCCATGGCCCAGGCCTGTGTTGGCATCCATCTCCTCACCTTTGGCTGCAGAGAGTGCCAGAGATGCCATCAGATGGGCCCAAGGCCTGAGGCCCAGGTGAGGCACTTCACCAGCCTGGGGTCCCTCCCCCAGCCCCACCCTTGAAGGCCCTGGAGCCCAGACCTGTGCTGACTGCCAGGGCCTTTCCTGGAACTCTGCAGAGGACGGAGCCCCTCCCTGCCTGCCCTGGCACACTCCAGGCACAGCCTGTCCCCTGGGCACCTTGCAGACACCCCAGGAGGCTGGGGCTTGGGACAAGTTCCACCCCCTAGGAAGAGTCCTGCATTGGACTGCCATCTGAGCTCCTGCCCTGGGTCTGTCATCCTCACAATGGCCCCACCAGACCACAGGGGACAGCAGGAGCAGAGGAGGAAGGAGAAGCTTTGTGGTTGGATGGCAGGATTCGTGGGTCTTTGTTGTGGCTTTGGGTGGGAGGGTGGATAGGGCAGAAAAGCAGGGTCTCAGGCTTCAAAGCACCTCCCCACCTGCTTCTCCCTCCCTCTGAGGAAATCTTCAGGGGCCTAGTGGTTTTTAGGGGAGGGGACAGGAAGAGACTTCACTGTGGGTCAGCTGAGGACAGAGATGGGGAGATCTTGCTCTATATCCCATTTCTGCCATCATCCTCTTCCTCTGCTCTCCAGCTCTAGAACAAATTTCTGCATCGACTGCAATAAGCGTTAGCTCCATCTCCGCTTCCCCCCCAACACACACACACACACAAACACACACACACACACCAAGACCTCCAGAGGCCACTCAGAGTAGTGGGTTTTGGGGGAAATGGAACAAGTACACAGCAGCTGTATGCCCGGCCACACCTGTAGGGTGGGGTGAGGACAGTGCCCCTCCCAGGTGGGCAGAGCCTGCTCGGCCCAGGCGGGGAGTTAGGAGTGGGGGGGCTATGAAACACTTTGGAGGAGGGGTGAGAGGCAGAGAAGGGATACTCAAAGCGGCCACGTGGAGGTCCCGCGCGCAGGCAAGGGCAGGAGCCGAGCAGCGGGCGGTGTGCGAGCCCCTCCCGCTCCGGGGAGCCTCCGAGAGTCGGGTCGTAGCTGACCGCAAGCTGCAAGAGCGGTTGATCTGGTGAGCGAGCACACCCACTTACCCAGCTGCTGAGTCAGGCTGTTCTCGCTCCCCGCTCGCCCGCCCGCCCGCCCGCTCGGGACATTGTGTTCCAGCCCCGGCGCGCTGGCACCGGGCCCAGGCGCTCACACCAGCCTCCTCGCCCTGTTTGTGCTAGCGGCTTGCGCTCGGCGCGCAACCTCCAAGCCACCGCAGCCTCCCCGTCACCTCAGCCCAGCGTGTGCGCCATGGGGCGGAGGCCGGGAGCCGGCACCAGCGACGGCCGGGGGCTGGTGCGCATCCCCGGGACGCGGCCCCCGGCCGGATCACCGGCCTCGGAACACCCAGACCTATCCATCTCCCCTCCTGAGTCCAGATTTGGAACCTCAGGCGTTTGTGGGACCCGGAGTAGCACGGGGCGGCGGGGTTTGGGGAGCGAACGGTGGCGGGGGAGGCAGGTGTTGGTAGTTCCACCAGCGAGCAGGAGCCGCCCAGGCTGACTCGCCGGCTGCCTCCCCTGCCCAGCTCGCGCTCGGTCCAGGAGCCTGGAAGAGGATAGCTAGGAGCGCACTGGCCCCAGACTCGGGAGACCTGGGATGCAATCACGTGACAACGGAAGCCCTGTAGAGGGGACCAATTCAAGCGCTCCCTAGGAGGAACCTCCCCTTTTCTCGCCCCCCTTCCCCCTGCTCCTTTCTTCGCACAAGCCTGGAGACTCCAGGGATTCCCAGGGGCTGGCAAACCGAGCCCAGCCCTTTTGGACAGCTTGGGAAACCCCTGGCAAGATGCCAGGAGTAGGAAGAGTCAGACACTAGTCAGTCTGTAGGAGTAGATGGCCGGGTGGAAGAAGGCAACCCTAAACTGGACCCTGATCCCTCCCTTTGTTCAGCCCCAAATCTGAATTTATTCAGAATCACAGTTTTTTTTCCTGATCCATCTGCACAAAGACATCACCCAGTGCTGGTCCTTCAAGTCCCAATGTTTCCAAACCAAGGAGCACATAGAAAACTTACAAACTGAGCACCTAGTACGTGGAAGGCTCTGTTGTGTCCTGCTAGGAATGTCATTAAAAAATTGAAAATGTGAGCCTCCCTGGTGGCGCAAGGGGTTAAGACGCAGCACTGTGAAGCTATCTGCAGCCACTCCAGCGCGAGTTTGATCCCCAGCCCGGAAGGTGACCCACATGATGCAGCAGACCTCTCCTGCCTCCCCTGCTGCTCCCCTCAGCAGTGTATTTCAGTAAATCAGCCCGTTCTGCTCCCCACTCTGTCTCTGTGAATCCCCTCACCCCCACACACACACCCCTCTGGCCTGTACCCCAGTTCTTGTATGCATAAATAAATAAATCTTTTTTAAAAAATTGAAAATGGGGTTCCTGAAGCCCTGCCTTCTTCCTTCCACCTCCGCAGTTTGCTATGCCATTTCCTGTGCCAGGGGTGCCCATCTCCATGTCTACCCATCTTTCAAGATCCAGCTCATAAATGCTGCTTGGAACAATGCCAGCCAAATTTGATTGCTCTCCCCTCTGAATCCCCAGCTCACTCAGTTTGTACCTTACTCAGGGCACAGTGTGTGGCCTGTCTCATATTCTAGCGATCTGTTTACTAATCCTGTTCTTCTAAGCAGATTAGAAAGTCCTTGCAGCAGAAACAAAGTCTGCTTCTTTGAGGCCTCCCCCATCACTCAAGTTCATCCCCCACAGACCAAACTTGGCACTGGAGTTGATGTTCGATAAATCTGGGCGTATTGAAATGATTTCCTGCCCTTGGGCAGTTTGCAGGCCAGTCAGAGACAAACACAGGTCCCATGAGGTTAAATAATAACCCATACCAGCAGGTAGTGAGTACCGAATGTGTGTAAGGGCTATAGGAATTCAAAAGGAAGAAGGTGATGAAATGGGAGAACGGTCTTGGGAAGTTCTAGGCCTGGAGCTGTGTGTATGTGGAGGAGGAGAGAGGAGGAGTGGGGGTGACTCATTCTGGTTGACATCACCACAGACCAGCCTCATGCTAGGCACTTTACATGCATTATCTCTAATATTTAAGGGGGAGGGCGAGGTTTGGGAGGAGTAAAGGGGTTGGTGCCCAAACCAGACCTGCCTGGAGCCAACCAGAGCAGAGAGGCAGCCTTAGATCTGGGCTCCCCACCCTCAGTCCCGGGGCACTGCCTGTTCCCTGGCCTGCCACTCCTACACATTACACCCAAGAGAGCTGCCCAGCACTGCCCAGCTCTGGATACATTCTGGTGCCACCCTGGTGCACTACTGGCTGTGTGACCTTGGGCAAGGCACTTCCTCTCTTACACCTCACCTATCATCTGTACCTCCATTGCAGTACTTAAGGGGTTTGAATACTGAGTCAGGGTCCAACTGATGCTGGCCACCTCCCCTCACATTACCTGGGCTGCTATGGCTGCCTGCACTTAGCCCGATCCATCCCAGCCCCCATTGCCACCTCCCAGTCTGGAGCTGCTGAAAAGAACACTTGGTACAGAGCGTGAGCAGGGATAGTAGGTTTCCTGTGGTTGCAAAAGGAACATCGGGACTTTCCCTGTGGTGCCCAAGCTGTGGGAGAAGTGGGGGAGGAGGCAGCCAGGCCAGCCTCGAAGGAACCCCTGCTCTCTTCCCTCCCCTCTTCAGTGCTCTCAGCTCTCAAAAAGGCTGGTACAGTTTGTTACACTGGGGCCGGAATGTACCGTGTGTTTCATATGGCCTCTGTCCAGTCCTACACTGGCTGCTTTATATTTATACTTCCTTCTTTAGCCGTGGCATCCTGCTGTCAGTCACCCCTGCCCTCAATCTGCCCACCACCCACCTGGGCCCCAGGGGTCAGTCCCTGAGTTCTGAAGTCTTGGTGGGGGTGAGTAGGTAGGTGGGGGAGTGGAGGGCGTGTTGCAGAGAGACAGTGGAGGAGAGAAGTGGGATTCAGAAGGAGTGAAGCCCCCTCCCCCATCTTCTTTCTCTCTCCCATCACCCAAGCCTGAAACTGTCTCTAGCCCCTGCACTCTCCAAGTGGAATTGAAAGTTTCTCTGGACCTTTGGGGTCGATTCTCCATTCCCTGTCACCCTTGTTTTCTCTAGCTTTTGAGCAATACTCTTGAGCCCAGCTAGTCAAGTGTGTTGAAGGCTTTGTTAGTTGCCCCCCTAAAACCTAGGTAGACCTGCTAATCCATGAGCCTCCACCATCAGTCACAGAACATAACAAGGCAGAGACGGGGGCCTGGGTTGAGGGATCCAACCCCAGGAATGACACGTTTCAAATAGAAGCTGCAAAATAAAATTTGATACTCGCTGGGTTAATAATTTTTTGAGTTGTAAACAGTTTATTTTCCTCAAGGTGACTTATTCAGAGATAGAGCGGGCCTTCCCTCCCTAGGGGTATGTGATATTATTACTTACAATAATAGTGAATGTAGTTTGCCTATTGGGACCCAACTTTGGGTCATGTTTCCTTCATAAGAACTCTGGGAGGTGATTGCTATTATTGGCTCTCTTTGACAGTTAAGGGAACTGAGGCTCAGAGAAATGACAGAGCTGGGATTCACATTGAGGTCCATCTGATGCCAAAGCTGGCACCCTGAATGGTCTGCCAGTTTGCTTAGATCATCTACCTAAATCGTGTATCTTCCCATTTCTCAAACCACAGTCTTATTCCCTTCTCCCTTCCAATGATTGCAGGAACTCGGCCCCATGGAATCCATGCGTGCCTTCAGGTGGATAATCCATGCAAGCCTTCAGGTATGTAATCCATGCATGCCTTCAGGTATGTAATCCATGCACGCCTTCAGGTAGATAATCCATGCACGCCTTCAGGTATGTAATCCATGCATGCCTTCAGGTAGATAATTCATGCATGCCTTCAGG